CCTCCTGGTGGCCAACCAGCCTCTCTGGTCCCTGCTCAGAGTCTGAACCCTGCCCAGGGTCCTCCACATCTTCCATAGCAGACTCATAGGATCCCTCGCTATCGGAGTCCATCGGCAGCTCCAACAGCTCCTGCTGGGTCGTAACAGGTTATTGTGGCGATACTGCTACAGTCAGGGTTCCAAGTAACAAGCCCAATGAAAAGGAACTCCGAGGCTTCTGTTTCCTCAAAGCTACAATTTATTGGAGATGTCATATTGGCACATCTGGGAAAACCCAAATCTGAAAGCTTCCAGGTTTTCCCCACCCAGTTAAAAGTTTAAGACCCTGTCCCAACACCCACAAGTCCATCACATGGTCCAATCCTTCATTACCATGAAGGAAGATTCCTTCTATCCACATCCATCCAGGTGCTGGGACAAAAGTGACCTTGACTTTCGGAGAAAAAATGTTGTTATGGCTACACATCACCCATTCTCTGTATAATCCCATTCTCCCACAGTACAAAGTGTGGCAGGCATGAAATCCAAAAGGCAAAAGATAGCTTCCAGGCCTGACACATAAATGTGAAAAACAAATCCTAGGTCACCTTTTTACCAGTGCCGTTGTAACTTTGAACGATCGCTAAAAGAACTGTTGTAAGTCGAGGACCACCTGTAAAGGAAGGAGGATTTATTCTCTAGAACTCTTGAGGCGAAGACAAGAGGCCACAGCCTCAACATCAAGACAGATTTCTTGATTGTGGGTTAACACAGCGGTCCCCAACTTTTGCAGCTTGGCGGCTGAGCTGGGGTGGGAGAGGGGAACGGGGCTGCAAAAGGGGCGGGCTGGCGCACGCGTGCAACTCCACTCACAGAAGAAGTAAGAGTAGCCTTTGGGGCGCATTTTCACGCTGGTTCAGTCTTTTCCGCGTCAAAAAGTTTTGCAAAGGGGACGGAAGGCCTGAAGCGGCGCAAGATCACCGCCATGGAGACTTTCGTCTGTGGGCAAAAGCTTTCAGTGTGAAAAAGTGAAGTCTTCCAGGCCACAGTCTCGCGCTCCTTCAGACGTTACTGAGGCCGCCTGGTATCCCAAAAGCAGATTGGGTAGGGGTATCAAACTCGATTTCATTGTCGTTACTTTTAAAGCCCTACATGGTATCGGACCTGGGTACTTGAGAGCCCGCCTCCTGCCAATTACCTCCCTACGACCAATTAGATCCCACCGATTAGGCCTCCTCCGGGTTCCATCAGCTAGCCAGTGTCAACTGTCGAC